AGATGGAGGAAAGACTGGCGTCCAGGGGTGGGTTTTGATGTACGTCCGTATCATGTCCTTGGGTTTGCTAGTGCAGCCTCACTGCCAGTAGTATGGGAGGTAGACAAAGGGTGCTGAGTGAGCTCAGGGTCAGTGAGCATCAGTTTCTGGGTCTTTTTTTTTAAAACTTTCTTTTGGATTCTGGATGTTCTGTACCATGGAAACAGCTGAAGTTGTTTTATCTTTAGTGCATAATTTCTATTTTGGAGAAGCTTGAGAAGTTGTGTGATTGGAGAAAATTTCTAGTCTAACGTCTTATTGCTCACGTGACCCAGAGTTAGAAATGAATGTAATTCTAAGATAAAAGGCATCCATAGAACAAAAAGTTAAAAAATTACAACAAAACCTGGGAAAAGCAATTAGCTTATAAATAGTATAAAATTGTATATCAGCAAATATACAAACTGAATTAATTTAATAGGAAATGATATCCTTTGTAATAAAAAAGGATATAATTTTAAAAGCAACCACAGGAGTTCACACCAGAATTAAGTCTTCTTCCTTACCACATGTTACAAAATTATTCAAATTTGATAGATGAATACACATAAAACTCATTAAAAAAATAAAGATAATAGTAAAGTTTAAGCCAACCTCTAAGACTTTTGACCAAGATGGTAAGATAGACTGCAGAGTTCCCACATACCTACTCTGGTAAAAGTCTGGAGTTTTCGCCAGACTGAACAATAATCAAGACATCCAACGAGAAACTATGGCAAGTGATTTCTTCCATTCCAGTACTACCCAAGAGGCAGCCAGAAGCCCTTGGACATAGGAAAGGGGGCAGCAAACAAAGCCAGAGCAGGGCAAGGGAGCCTCTTAGTGAAACTAAGATCAGCCAGGAACACATGTAGCCTGCAAGGTTCTGTGTCCAGAGACAGCAAGAGCAGAGGGTTTCCCAAGGAAACTACAGGGTGGTCAGAAAGCTTAGAGTAGGAATACTCAGATATACCTCCCATCCAGGGTCTTGGAGGTCTCTAACACTATGTCCTCTTAATTTAAGAGTCTTTTTCTTATTAAGGGGATTTACTCTGTGAAGTTTGGATTCAGATGACCTGGAGGGCCACATGTGGCCTTGAGGCCATAGGTTCCCCACCCTGATAAGATATGTCTTAGAATGCCTCTTAGACAATTGGGGAATGGCTGACCATACTGTGGAATATGGATATAATAAAATATTAGCACACCATAAAAAATGAGGAAAAAGACAATTTCAAAGAATCCTAGCTAGTATGAACTGATATAAAGTAAAATGAGCAGAACTAGGAATACAATCTATACAAGGACAGCAACAATGTAAAGAAAAGGAGCTTTAAAAGACTTAAGAATTCTGATCAATTCAACGACCTGTTATGTTTCCAGAGGACCCATGATGTGTGTTACTTATCTCTTGATAGAGGGTGATAGACACAAGATGCAGAGGCCTGTATTTTTGAACGTGGTCACGGGATGGATTAAGTTTATCTAAATATCCTTATTTGTTATAAAAATTTTTTCTTTCAGTTAATTGGGAGAGGGCTTCAGGAGAAGGAAAATTAGTAATAATAATGAAAAAAAAGAGAGTCATTGAAACATTCTTAAAATGCACAGAAGAGAGCAAAAGGCAGTTCAGAAGGAAGCACAGAGAAGCAGGACAGTTTTGAAAGTAGCATGAAGAATTTATACTTTTTTTTCTTTAAGCAAGTGGTATAAATGCACATTTACATATAGAATCCTTTTATGTTTTGCTATGTATATGGAAATACTTTTTTTGTGTGTGTTTAATTTCAAAATTTTTTTAAAAAATCAAAAGCCAACTTCCAAGATCCCTTCCAATTTTTAAGTGCTATTATAGTGCTGTTGATTCTGAGCCCTGCTGTGTGATACCAAGCCTGTTATTCAATCCAACCTAAACTTTCAAATAATTAAGTGGATCTATGATTTCACCAGTGTGAACAGTCACCCTCTCCTACTTGCCTATCCTATGTCTATAATCTCCCATAAATTTACCATAGGAAGTCTACCCAACATGGCTAATAATAGAATACATGGGCTTGCTATCAGTTATGCCTCATTCCAGCTATATAATCAATCCATCTTCTTTTTTGCTTATACAGATCCTTGATGATGACCTTTCCTCTGCTTCTCCTTAATTTATTTCTTTGTTTATAATGTTTTGTATCCTATTCACATCTTCCAGGAGCTTCTTTACTTTTTGGGTGATACTCAACTTCAATCCTTTGGAGATAGGATAGATTCATTTTGTAGGCTTCTTTGCAGTCTGAAACCTGGCTTTGCCTTTCTCCCTGTCTTAGACTTTGTTGTTTCATATCTTGCAGATATACAAGAACACTGGAAGAATGCTGATGTTTGAAAGATGGGCTTTTGTTTTAGGAAGTTTGGAGTCATTAAATGAATTTTTGCAATATTCATTTGAAAAAAAAAAGTGATCTAATCTGCCCTTTCTGTCTTGCTCAATTCTGAGCCCAAATAATTGCCGTTTGCAGTGTTTGCCCAAGATGCACATGTGCGCGTGCGCGCGTGCACACACACACAGAGATAGATAGATAAATAGATAGACATAAATGAACTCTATAGGTTGTCCGTCTAACCTAATCTCATGTTCTGAACAATAGGCATACTTTGTGTACTTTTTTTTTTTACTTGAGTGAACAGTTAGGTCAAATTTTTTTTGAGTGATTATGGGTCTCCTTTAAGAGCATTTGCAGTATTCTAGGGCTTGTTGTACCACAATGTTATCTACAAAGAGGACAACCTAGAAGATCTCACTATTTATAGAGAATCCCTCCTTGATTTGAACGTGGGGCTGGATCTTCTTCCACCTCAGTGGAAGATACATTTGGCATTGATGCATCTCCTTGTTTTTTTTCTTACCTGATATTAATTATCAGAGCATTTTCAAGCAAGGTTTTCTCTATTAAACATTTCATGGAACATGAAACATGTATGAGAGACATCATATTGGAGGATAGGCAGTAGGTAGTGTTTTGCTTCCAAGTTCAGTAGTTTTTCAGTTGGGTCTGACTCTTCATGACTCCATTTGGGGTTTTATTGACAAAGATGATGGAGTAGTTTGCCATTTTTTATTTCATCCCATTTTACAGATGAGGAACTGAGGCCAACAGGATTAAGTGACTTGCCCAGGGTCACATAGCTAGTAAATGTCTGAGGCCAGATTTGAACTCAAGAAGATGAGTTGTGCTGATTCCAGGCCTGGCACTCTATCTACTTTGCCACCTCTCTGTCTCTACCAAATCAAAGTCTTTTTTTATAGTTAGCAAAGAATAAACACAGTTGGATCGTCTATTATTGATCATTTGTGATGGTATAGATGTGTTCTACTATGGAAAGCTGCTTATAAAAGCCTGTCTGTTCCTTTTTGTACCCTCATTAAGGATACCATTGATGCATATATAGATTATCCTTATGAAACCTTTATACTGAGTGTCCCAAAAGTCTTAGTGCAGTGTCAAGCTATTAGAACTTTAAGCTGAACTAAGACATTTGGGACACCCTGTACAGATGGAAAAGTAGATATACGTTCTATTGATCACCTCTGTGTGTGTGTGTATATATGTGGATGTGTGCATTTTCCCATGTATTTTGTATCTTCCTCAACTTCAGATATTTGAGAATTGACATCTCAATGCCTTCAAATTATGCCACATCTAGCAAGGCTAGCCCAGCTGCTTTTTCCTACCTTTGTTTCCCTCTATTATTTTTTCATCCTCTCTAATTACATCTGATAATGAATGTGGTTAGAATCCAAATCCCCTTGACGGGAATCTTTGCAGATCTTTTCCAATTTTTTTTTATCTTTCTAGTGTTGTATTTTTAAAAGGCCTCTATGTCTTTATTTCTCTAAATTTTTTTGAAACTAGTTTTTCCTTGCACTGTTTTTCATTGTTTCATGAGGTAATAGTACTAGTAATCTTTCTTGTAGTCTGAAACCTGGACTTTGCCTTTCACCATCCTTCTCTTAGATGTTGTAAATTCCTAGTGTTGACCTAGCTTCCTTCTCTGACCCTGCTTCTGTCTCTCACCTTTTCTGGTTTCTGATATTAGCTTGTTGCTCTATATGGAGGATAGCAGTTGTCACTAAATCCATTGTCTAGATGTGATAGTCATGTGACACAGATGTACGATGCATGGGACACTTAGTGTGTAGCTCATTGGTGCACTAGACTAGTATAAGAAGTACACATCAGCCCCTGTACTGATTTCCTTAAGCTTACAGGAGACCAGAGTATCATTTCATTAATTCCTTCAATAGGGCAGGTAAAATCTGAGTTATCTACCAAATGGCATTATATTTGAGCCATCAGTCAACTGGTCCTTTCAAATATGCTCTCAAAGACCCTTCTTCAAAAGTTGCCCTATTGCCATCAGACACCACTAGAACTCATTCAGCTTTAAGCCCCCCAAACTTTTCCCCCCTCTTTCGTCCCTTCCAGTGGCTTCGAGTGGTTAGGAAAGCCATTCGGCAAACAAACAAACAACAACAATAACAATAATAATAACAACAATAAATTCATGCTGGATGACCAAGTCCAGAATTTAAGATAGAGAAAATATAAAAACTGTCCCTCAAAGTGTTAAAATCATTATTTAAATCTGTGGTTCTGCCCCCAGTCCACATCTGGACTTTGCCTTCTTAGTTAAATGACTCTGCCATTCTTTTTTTTTTTTAATAATATTTTATTTACCCTCAATTACATGTTAAAACAAATTTTAACATTTGTGTTTTTTTTAAGTTTTGAGTTCCAAATTCTATCCTCCCCTCCTCTCCCCCTTCCTGAGACAGTAAGCAATCTGATATAGGTTATACATGTGAAATCATGTAAAACATTTACATGTTAGTCATTTTGTGCAAGAAGACTTGAAAAAGGAAGGAAACAAGAAAGAAAAGAAGAGGGAAATAATGTGTTTCAGTCTGTATTCAGACATCAGTTCTTTCTTTGGATGTGGATAGCATTTTCCACCATGAGTCCTTTGGGATTGTCTTGGATCATTGTATCGTTGAGAAGAGCCACATTGCAGATACCCGTTACAATCAAGTACTCATGCCTCAAGCTTTGCTTTTCTGCTTAAGTCCCTGCTTCTCTGGACTCAAGCTCCTCCCTCTCCTTTCTACCTGGAAGGTTAAGGTCTTATCTACAGCTTTCCCTTGGCTCTGCCATCATTCTGAAGACATTTTGTACAAAGCTATATCAGAAAAGAGTCAATCATGTACTTAGTCTGGAAACAGATTAATTGGTGCCTACCATTTAGCACCCTTTGTCTTATTTGGGACAAAGGACTGGATTATAATATATATTGCTTCTCTTCCTTAGATAGATCTCACTTCCTATTAATTAGTAATAGCAAAATCTGTTGATTTATGTTCCCACTAACTGCACAGAACAAAGGAGGAAGGGAAACAACCTTGCCTCACTGACCTAGGGAGCATTACATATGATGAACAGATGACTATTTGGTGTCTTCATGGGGACCCCATGCTCCATTTGGGGCTTCTTGGAGATTGATCCATCATCCCTGCTACCAGAGATCTGATCTAACAGATGTTCCCAGAACCTTCTTCCTCTGGTGAGTCTGTAAGAGGTATAAGAAATAAAGGGAAGCAAGTCAGCTTAGTGTAGGGCAGGATCCTTCATAACAGTATGCACATTGGCATATTTAGCATGCAAAAAGTTGAGTCTTAGCTTTGGCTACATTGATTAGTACTGCTACTGCAGGGCTAACCAGAACAGACCATGTATCTGATGATTTCTACTTAATCCCAAAGATCCTTCAATAAGTACCTGTAGGCTTAGAACCCTTACTATTTACAATATATTCATTTCTAGCACCTTGTAATTGAAACACAAGCCTTGATTGGCTAGTAGCCCATCAGACTACTATATACCACAACCCTGAATCTCCTATGCTGGGATTTCTCCATTACTCTTCTCCTAGGATGATAGATTTAGAGCTAGAAGTGACCTCAGAAGCAACCTAGTCCAGCTTTCTCATTTTATAGGTGAGGAAAATGAAGCCCAGACAGATTAAATTACTTGCCCAAGGAGCGACTAGGTGGCACAGTGGATAAGGCACCAGCCCTGTAGTCAGAAGGACCTGAATTCAAATCTGGCTTGACACTTACTAGGTATGCGGTCCTGGATGAGCCCCTTCACCCTGTTTGTCTCATTTTCCTCATCTGTAAAATGAACTGGAGAAGGAAATGGCAAACTACTCTAGTATCTCTGACAAGAAAACCCCAAATGGGATCATGAGGAGATGGACACTACTGAAAAAGAACTGAACAAAGATTATTATTATACGTAGAATGGGAAGATATGGCTTCATAGTGCCTTCAATTGGATTTATAACAGTGACCATCTGGGAAGAGTCAATATATAGGTAACACCTATACGGCTCTTTAAGATTTGTAAAACACTATATAGGCTTAGAAAAGGGGTTCTTAACCTGGGGTCTGCAGACTTTGAGAAAGTCACTCAAGATTTCATTGCCTCAGGAAACTCTTTAAGAGTATAAATTGCAGAGGTAATGTCATTCTGCATTGGTAGATGGAATTTCTCACCAAGTGTTCCCTACACCAATGAAATCATGGTTCTACTAAAAAATAAATAACAAACTAGAGTTCATTAGAAACAGAACTGTGAAGATGGAGAGATGCTCAGTCACCTTAAATCAGGAAAGAAAAAACATCATACAGACAGAGGAAACAGGGGTGCAATGCATTCATGGCCACATGGTGACCAAGGAGAGGCCCCAAGGTCTCTCTGTCTCTCTGACTCAGAAGCCCACCATAGTTCTTGCCTTGTTTCGCATCAGTAAATTGAGAGAACCTTTTGTATGCTCACTCATTTCTGGCTCAGCAGCCAATTAAAAGTATCTTTATCACCACACAGTAAAAAAAACAGGAAACAGAATACCTGAGCCTGCCCCGAATTGAGGAAGGACTGGGCCTTCCATCAACCTAGTTGTAGATTTGCTGCAAAGTTAGGATATTTCGCATGGTCTAGGAACTGGGCCCTCCTTATCCACTCCCCCTGTTACATTAGTTTTGAATTTGCATTCACCTGATGCTATATCCCACCTCTCCCCCTTCCCTTTCTTTCCCTTCCCTTCCCTTTCTTTCCTTTTCCTTTCCTTCCTTTTCTTTTTTTGATTTATTTTTAATTTATGAAATAAAATAAGCATTTCCATAACAGTAAAATGTTTAAAAAATGATGATTGCACATGAAACTGCAAATATATTATGTGAACTAATCCTCTTCCCTTTCCAGCTCATCTACTTTGCAGCCATAGGATTGCCAGGTGGCCACCTTGCCTTTTTTTCTTTTAAAAATGTCTTATTACTATTCTTTTTTTTTTTATATTACTTTCATTTCCCAATGACTCCTCTCCCTCCCCCGCCCCCCCAAAAAAAAACTCTAACAAGCAAAACAAATTAACACACTGGCCATATCTGAGAACGGGTACCTCTGTAATTTTTATTCACCACATCTCTGCAAAGGGAGACATACTTCACCATCATGTTCTCTTGAAATCACTATCAGTCACTATACCAATCTCTTTGTCCATTGTAGGCCTCTTTATGGCTTGTAAGATTTCCTGTAGACAGCCTGCAATGCTCTCAGCTAGTTACCTGGTGTAGAGGTGAGTAACGGGGAAAAAGAGCAAAAAAAAAATCCATAGTTTGAGTAGAAGGGAGTATTCAGTATGAAGGAGGTATCATTATGCAGTAAGAGAACTGGATAGTAAGCAGGATCATACATTAACTATTCTCTGCCTGATTCCTTACTATTGTACCAGAAATATCAGATAGTCCTTTTTCACTAAGCTGGATTACTGGATTAAGACATGATCAAGGCAAACTACTTCTGATTCAGCAGGTCCTTCAAGATTGAATTTGAGGCTGGTGACTTTGCACAGCTCTGCCTCACTTAAAGCTAATTCACTTGCATGTCATAGCATCACCTTCCTGATGTCATGGTCCTTTTCAAGAATGAATAAACAAGAAGATTGAATTTACAAAGTCCTGGGAAGCCACAGGGGACATGCAGAGTCCCAATGGAATGACTCTGTCCTCAGGCTGCCTAGTTTGAAATGCCATCCCCCACTTATCTCCCTACCAGATCCAAACCAAGTTACAGGCCCTCCTCAAACCCAGCTTAGTGAAGAGAATATACAGATGCAGCTGGTCTGGCAGAGAGCTGACATAGAGGGCAATGATTTTGCCTTGTACTGGTGTTAAGGATCTGAGAGTCACGTTGAGAGCCTTAACTACCTGCTCTTTTTCTTCATGAAGGGCACAGAGAGACTGGAGGGAAGGAGAAGGATCAGTGAACCCATTATGTACATTCTTGTGAGATCATAAAAATTAGAAACTTAAAGTTGTACACTGATATAAGCTAGACTTGCTTCATAATGATTTGCCTTTTAAGTTAATTTCAACATGTAAAATACGTTCTCCATTACTCCCTTTAAGTCTCCATCAGGACTTTTTCCCACTTCTCATTCAATTTTCATCATATGATTGTATAGTAGTTTGTACTTCATTTCCATGATTTTCCTTCCCTCCTCACCCCCACTTTGCATCATATCATATATAAAGGGGTATTCTATCAATTATTATAGAGGGCTGGGGTTTCTGTATTGAATCAGTCCGAGCTATGAATTAGGTACGAACAAGGTGTTGTTGTTCAGTCATGTCTAACTCTATTGTGACCCATTTTGGGGGTTGCAAACAGTTTGCCATTTCCTTCTCCAGTTCATTTTACAGATGTGGAAACTGAGGCAAACAGGGTTAAGTAATTTACCCAGGGTCACATATCTTGTAAGTGTTTGAGGATGGATTCAAACTCATGAAGATGAGTCTTCCTGATTCCAAGCCCAGGTCTCTAACCACTGTGCCACCTAGCTGCTACTGAACAAGGCATAGATTTCCACAATCAATTAATCAAAGGCATTAAACGAAGCACAAATAACCTACTCAATCAAGTTTATAAAGATTGAAACCATTGGACTAAATGAAGTGGCTACACAGAAAATGTGTTGGGATTGGTTGAGGAGACTCAGGAATGAACTGTAGGTTCTGTATAGGATAGTAAGCTAGTTTGGGACCCAGGACTGGAGCGTTTGGCAAACTAGAGGAGAGAGCAGTCTGGCCAAGACACTGAGAGGGAATCATTTGGGTAAAGGAGGTGGAGAAAAGAAAATAGATACCAGGAGATTTTGGATGGGAGATTATGAATAACCTGAGGGATTAGCTGGCGTCACTTTGGGTTGTACACTATCTCTCTCCTTTCTTTCCTGCAATGCTACATGGGTTTTTCTAGATTGCTTCTCAATACGCACAGGTTTAAAGTGAAATTAAATATAGCTCATGAGAAATCTTTTATTTTCTGAGCTGCAAATGGGGGTGTCTGTCACTGTTTCATGAGACTTGGGCAGGGTCCCCATTGGCTCTATTCTCTCCATTTCATCGTAGGTGGGATCCATTAAGCCTGTACCAATTAGCACAGTGCCTAGCCCAGAGTTAGTGCTTGATAAATATTGACTGATTTGCTGAAATTGGTTCATAAGGCCAACTGGTTCCACTGAAAATCCTGGACTAGGACACAAAAGAAACTGGAATACTCCACCTGGGAGACACTCCTTTGCTGCAGCCAGTAGATGTCTTGGTTGGAAGATTGGACATGAATCAGGTATTTGGGAAACTTGTGGAATATCTGTAATAATCCTTCAAAGTTTTATCAGGGACTTGTTCACCCATTAAACTCCACTGGGCAGTGGATCCAGGAAGACCTGCTGTCTGACTAAAAAATTTCTTGGGGGCATTCATAGAGCTGCTCCATTCCATGCCACCCCTACTTTAGGTATCCAACTATGTTCACTAACAAGTATTCTTTTCATGCACAATGGCTAACCCATCTTGGTCCAGCTGCTACTGTAGAGCAGTATTGTGAGAGCTAGTGCTAAAGGGTTTCCATCCTAGCCACCAGGACTGGTGTAACTGAGGGTGGGAAGATTCCATAGTCATCTGCTGGGGACAGGGCTGGGATAGAGGCCTATCAAAGGCTGTCAGTGAATGGGATCTAGGCTGACTAGTGAACCTTCACTGATTTGGGAGCTAGATGAGGGGGAAATTGCAGATAAGAAATTCCTGCATGGTTGAGGGTCAGAATCCCAGTGCCATCAAACCCAAATCAAGAAGACAGACACATCATAGAGTAGAATGGAGCAGAGAAAGGAAGGGGTGTCTAAAGTAGAGGCAGGGTCCAAATCAGGAATAACAACAAGATTCAAGGTAGGATCGGCACGAGGTTAGTTCCAGGGTTTAGGCTGCAAGAGTTAATATGAGGAAAGTATACTAGTAGAATGTAAAGTCCTTGAGAACAGGGACTGTTCTCTCTTTGTGAATACCCTAACATAGCACATGACATATTTGTTGATTTATTTAGGTCCAGACCTGTGATTTCATCAGTGTGGGGAACATTTGGAGTGGAAACTCTTAACTGTTATTGATACAGATTGCCAAGACATCTATAATTCAGAGTCTGAGAACTGTCTGGAACATTGAGATGTTAAGTGACTTGCCCACACAGCTAATATGTGTCAGAGGAGGGATTTGAACCCAGGTCTTCTTGACCTGAAAACCATCCTTTTAACTATTTCATACTACTTCTAGACTGGAATGTCATAAGTTATTAATTAAATGCTTATTGAATTGGAAAAAAGAAGTATAGGATAAAGGTGTAGGATCACAATATTGCCACACTCAAGTGGTCTTTCTATGTACACTTTTTTGTTTGTATGCCCAGCTGTATACAGTGATCCCCACATTCTAACTTCTAAATTCCCTTTAGCAGAAGAGTTCAACCCACCATTTTCTGAATATTTCATTGGATGAGCAAGAAAGATGGTCTAGAGGAAGACCTGGTCAATTCAGTTATGTGGAAGGGGAAGGAAATCTCGAGTAAGAATGGCATCCACAAAGCAGCAACTAAGAATTAATTCAGGAGGCCTCCCAGAAGATCACTGAGTTTAAGAGAAAAAGCCACTGTGGAGGAATAGGGCTGGAAAGAAGTAAAAATAATGATGCTTGTCCAGGGTGCAGCCGTTAGAGGAGAAAACACTCACCATTGGGTGATGGCGTATCGACAGCTGAGATGACTTGAGAGGCTCTGTGTTAGGGCAACTGGGAATGGATTTGCCAACAAGTAGAGCCTGAGCGTTTGAAAAACAAAATGCTTCTAGTAGCCTCTGGTAAACTCCTACTGGCCCTTAGAAAACCAAAGGGAAAAGTATAAATTTCACTTCCGTAGGAAGAGAAGATTTAGGAGGAATATAATCTGCTGTTTTCACATAGTTAAAAGGCTGACATCTCAATGGGTCAATGCATAAGTATTTATTAAGTATCTAGTAAGTGCCAGGTGCTGACCTAAGTGCTGAGGCTATAAGTACAAAGAATGAAATAATCTCTACTCTCAGGGAGCTTACATTCTAATGGGGGAAACAAATTCATAGAAAAATCTATGCAGCATAAATGTAAAAGTTTATATATGCAAATATATACAAAGCAGTTAATACAGATAGTCTGGGAAGGAGCCTGGGAGGTCTACCATGCTACCTGCAATAGCAGTTGGGAGGAAAGACTTCCTTCAGAAGATGGCATTTGAACAGCATTGTAATGGAGAGAGGCGAAGGGGAAGGGAATGAGCATTTATCAAGCACCTACTATGTGCAAGCACTGTGCTAAGTGCTTTACAAATATCTCATTTGAAAGAGAAGAATTCTATGAGGAGGAGGAGGAAGTAATAAGGAAGAAATAAATTCCAGGCATGAGGGACAGTCATGGGGAATACAGAATTCATCCTAGGAGTTTGACTCTAGGGAAGATCTAGGACTACATGATGGAAGTGACAAGGAAGGAGATTTTGATTCCAGGTTAAGGAAGGATTTCCTAATAATTGGTGCTATCCAACAGTGAAGTTGAAAATCCCTTTAATAAAAGGATTTGTTCTGTAAAACTTCAACTCAGTCAAAAGGTTGTACCCAAGGACCTAGAAGGCCACACATGGCCTCAAGGCCACAGGTTCCCCACCCCTGACCAAGAGTGTTTAAGCAGAGCCTATGTGATATCAGAGAGGCTGGAGAAAAGAGATGGCTGGGAGATTCAGCTAGATGGTCTCTGAGGCTCTTTCGGGATCTTTCAGGATCCAAGATTCTCTGATTTATTGCAGACTTAGAGAGCTGGATGTGGAGAAAGAAGAATAAGAGATGAAGCAAAGGGAAACTGTGATCAGAAACTCAGGGAGCAATTTCTGTCTAAAGAATCATTGGGTCTCAACGCTAATTCTTTGCTTAATAAAGGTCTTCTGCCTTGATTTAATTCAATTGAACATTTATTAAGTGACTAATGTAACAAAGCTGGTTTGAAATAGAAACAGCTTTCATTTACTAAGGCCTGAAGAAAGGCAAAAGAACCTCTTGTTTCAACAACCAATCAGCTGTGGAGACAGAAATGTAAACAGAAACTCTTATCTTCTTTCCCACTGTGGCAATTGGCCAGCATCAATCTTTAACAGGACCCTCATTGATCTGCTGCTAGGTAGCTCCTTTTTTTCCCTTTTGTTTATTTTAGTTCAGGACTAGAGTAAGGAAATACCTTCCTCTATGTTCTGGCTAATACAAATGGTCCATTAATGGTCCCTTTAAAAAAATAAAATCCGAAATAGTTTTACTTGATACTTTTTTCCCTTCAGTTTTTAAACTGGCCCATTTGAAAGGAAATACATTTTGTGAATTTCTGATTCCTTTGTACTTATCTCATCAAAGTGATCTTTCCAAAGCCATGGTAGACCTCCCAGGGTCCTTTTGAACTTTCTTTGTGACATATGTGGAATCTCAGATTCCACAAACAAGGACTTTCTTGCCCAAGAGAAAAAGAACGAACACCCACGGGCTGGAGTTTAAAGCTCTGAACATGGGATCTGTAAGATTGGAAACATTCAAAATTGGATCAAATGCCTTTGTCCCACTTCACTAAGGAGAGGCTTTGAAATTCCATTCCTCCTCTGATATGGGAAGAAAAAGAAAGAAACCACCATGGTATGTTCAGCCAAATTCACCCACCTGGTTCTCTTTACCTTCATCCTACATCCTGTGCTTTGTGAGCTCCAACAGGGTGGCACTGGGGAGAGGTCAGGGTTTGAAGGCCAGGAAAGTAGCCTGAGAAAGGGAAGGAGGAACTGCCAGCAGGGGTCTTCAGGGCCTCAGGGAGTGTAGGAGACTTCAAAGCCAAGGAACCTTCCCAAGTCAGTCAGGATGACCCCGTTCTCCTGTGATCACGAACAGGGACCTTAACTATCTTAAAATAGAGAAAACTGCGTTCCTTCAACCCATTCCCCAGTTCAATGGCCTCCCTCTTTCAGTTATTTGCCCAAGAATATAAGCCTGGTCAGTGAAAAAGTCTGGGTAGTCCCTTTTCAGCAAACTAACTAAACCACATGGTAGGGGAAAGTTCCAGCTTTTAAATATATTCTGCAAACATGTCAACAATATTTCTGCAGCTAGATGGCTTGGTGGGATTGGTAAAGAACTACAGTCACTTTCTGTGAGTTCTTTCCTGTTGAAGATCTCTCCTGAGTTGAGAAAAGGCTAAGGAAATGGGCAAGCCTTTCACCCAGACCCAATCCCCCTGGAACCTCCTCTCAACCAAAAAAAAAAAAATTAAAAAAAGGAAGCTGGGGCTGCTTCTTTCACCTCATGAGGGTCCTGTGAAAGGGAGTTAGGAACCTCCTTCCTGTCTTTCCTTCCCCTCCCCTCTCTTCTTCTCCATCCCTCCCTGGGAGATTTCAACTCTGTTTGCTTTGCCGTCCTGTAACCAGGCCAGTCAGAAAAAGAAGGCTGCAAGTTTTCCACTAATGAATTCCAGACTTCTGGTCTGTAATCACAGCTGGGTCCTGAAGGAATGTTGTCAACAACTGAGCCCAGCTGGATGGAGGGGAGAGAGGGGAAATATGGACACAATTTCGTGTTTGTACAATTCTGTACTGAGCAGCTTATATTTTAATGTCTTTTGGAGAGAGAAGTGGGGAGAGCTCGAGGAAGGGGGGAAGGAGCAGAATTTAAAGCAGGAATTAAACTTGTGTAATATTCAACTCCTAGAACACTACATCTAGGAGGGATGTCAGAGGTTGCTTAGTACAATTTCTACCTGAAAGCATGAAACCTTTACAATCGCTAATTATTCATCCCTTGCTTGAGTGTAAGCCCCTTGGAGTCAGGAACTATTTCTTTTCTGTCTTTGTATCCTTAGCTTCTAGCATAGTGTTTTTGGCATAACATAGGGGCATAAAAAATCCTGGATCACTGATTCAGTGATGGGGCACTTACTTTTTAAAGCAGTACATTCCATTATAGGACAGTTAAGTAGCACGGTAGATAGAGTGCTGGGCTGGAGTCAGGAAGACCTGGGTTCAAATTTGAACTCAGATACTTACTAGCTCTGTGACCCTGGCCAAATTACTTAACCCTGTCTGCCTCAGTTTCCTTATCTGTAAAATGAGCTGGAAAAGAAGATGGCAAACCCTCTCCAGTATCTTTACCAAGAAAACCCCAAAAGGAGATATGAAGAGTTGGACATGACTAAAAAAAATGACTAAACAACAATGATTCCATTATGTACTAAACAGCTCACGTTGTGAGACAATTACCACCAATTCCTTCATTTGGCCTTCTTGGGGCTTGGTTGCCAATCCTGGTCACCCTCTTCTGGACCTTCTCCAGCTTGTCAATGTCCTTTTTACCATGTGGTACACAGCACTGAACAAATATTGAAGATGTAGGCTGATCAGGCAAAGGATGGCAGGGCTATTATTTTCCTCACTTTGAATACTATCTATTTGTAGCTCACGTATGCTCTAGAGCAGCACTTCTTAAACTGTGGGTCATGACCCCATACACAGTTTAAGAAGTGCTGAAGGGGTCACGAGTGGTAAAAGTTCAAGAAGCTCTGCTCTAGAGCATCCTTGTCTCATCTCTCTCTCCAGGACTTTGCAAGCTATATTTCCTCCTCAAAGTCCTAGAGGTACCTTTGATTGGTCAAAGATGACACTAATGCTATTGAATAGAGCCCCCATTGATATGCTTCTCGCCAAGCTTCAGTTGAGATCCTTAATGCTTTAAGTAGCTTTTAGAAAGGGATATTTACTAAAGTTGTACAATAAAAATAATTGGTACAAAACATCTCCTCAAAAGTGCGTGAGATATTTTCCTAGGAGTACATAGAAGGTCCAAGGGAAAGAGAGCTTAAACTTAGTCAGCCCACGGAAATAACTCACAGCTCTGGTTGCTGAAAGACCTTTTCTCTCATTTGGGACAAGGCTCAAAAAGTTTCCCCTTAGGCATGGTATGGTTTTCTTGCTGGGCTCCTATTCAGAGTTTCAAGTCCAGACTGTCCTTAACCAGACTGTTCCTGCCCTTTGATCCAGGAACGCTGCTTAGGACACAGATGGTAAAGGATCTGACGCTGTCCTGAGGGGCATGATGCCATGAAACCAATGGGAAGATAGGCAGTCTAACATTTTCCAGATCCTTTAATGCTGTCAAAATCCTTTTCTGGTCAAAGGACTGGGAGGAAACCTGGCTGAAGCCAAGCCTGCTCCTTTCCAAAGCTCCAGGAGATTCCTCCTCAACAATGGGCTAGAAACCCACTAGGGCTTTCTAGCCAGAAGGACAAGTCACAACTTGTTTCCTCATCTGTAAAATAAAGGGCTTGGGCTAGAGGAGCCAGTTGTAAATCTAATGAACAACTTATAAAACCAGAGGTCCAGAGAGTTTAAGTGATTTGCCCAAGGTTACACAGAGACATAATTAAAGAAACGGGCCTAGAGAACTCAAATGCCCTGACCACCCATTCAGTATGTTTTCAGCTGGGTTCTTCCTCTTGTGGTACTAGAGGAACCTGGGAGCAGGTGGGAAGGACTCCACTGTCCAGCAGCAATCTCTAGGACAGTCTTTGGGGCTGCCGGAAGGACCAGCACACAACATTGGTCTGTCAATGGACACATAACCCACAATGTGGTATAGTGTGAAGAATGTTGCCTTTCGAGCCAGAGGACTTATATGTATATCCTCCAACTGCTACTTACTACCTGTGGGACCCTGGGCAAATTACCAATGAAGTGGTTGGGCTAGATGGAGGGTGGGGAACATTCAGCCTCAAGGCCATGCATGGCCCTCTAGGTCCTCAAGTGCAGCCCTTTGACTGTACCCACACCTTACAGAATAGGTTCCCCACCCCTGGACCAGAGAGTCTCTAAGGTACCTTCCAGGTTTAAATCTATGATCTTATGAGCCTATGTTTCTATTTCTTTGTACTGATCTCAGTGTTCCCGTATAGTCTCTGAAGCTCAGGACAGCTATTCAATCTTTTTTTTTTCTTTTTTTGGTGAGGCAATTGAGGTTAAGTGACTTGCCAGAGTCACACAGCTAGTGTTATGTGTCTGAGGCTGGATTTGAACTTGGGTCCTCCTGACTCCAGGGCCTAGGTTCTATCCACTGCACCACCTGGCTGCCCCCACCATTCATTCTTTATGATGGTGGCTCACATCTTATCCTACCAGCTTCTGAGACCAAGACAATTGGTTCTGGTCAATGCTGCTTTTGAAACCCAGAATGACTACTAATCTCTGGAGTCATGGGTGGCTCCAGATTCTAAGATATCAGTGACATCCCAGGGAGAACCTTAGACACAGTGAAGGGACCCAGGCCAGTCTTCTCTTTCCACAAGGGGAAGAGGCTCCAAAATAATTTGTGTCAAGATTCAAAAATAAGAGTCAGAAAGGAACTCACACCTCCCAGATGGAACCTACAATTCTGGGACACTTGAATGCATGTATGTACATATTCATACACAGGCATTCAAACACATATGTATGCACAGTTGTTTATCCACAGTAACAATATACATGTGTACATGTAGATACATATACTGAAACACATGCAGTTCATCTCTGAATTCTAACAGATATTTCCTTGCCTTACATTTAATTTACTTCATATTCAACTCCTTCCACAATTGTACTACAATTTATTGGTATCTTTTTTTTCCAGGCAATTGGGGTTAAGTGACTTGCCCAGGGTCACACAGCTAGTAAGTGTCAAGTGTTTGGTCTGAGGCTGGATTTGAACTCAGGTCTTCCTGACTTCAGGGCCAATGCTCTATCCACTGTGCCACCTAGCTGCCCCAATTTATTGGTATCTTATATGCCACTGTTATTTCCAAATATATTCCTCTCTTTTCCTCTATCCAGAGAGCCTGCCCTAAAAAGAGAAAAAAAATCAGTTCAGCAAAACTAATTGAAACATCAAGTAAATATGACAGTACATGCAATGCTCCATACCCATATTTTCCCATTTCTTCAATGAAGGGAGGAAGGTGCATTTTTTCATCTTTCCTTTGGTACTAAGCTTGATCATTCTATTTACACGGGGTTCAGTTTCATAGGGTTTTTTTTTAATTCTTTTTTTTTTAGGCAATTGGGGTTAAGTAACTTGCCCAGGGTCACACAGCTAGTAAGTGTCAAGTGTTTGTTCTGAGGTCGGATTTGAACTCAGGTCCTCCTGACTTCAGGGCCAGTGCTCTATCCACTACACCACCTAGCTGCCCCTAAAAATTACTCTTTACATTTGCATTGTTTTGTCCTTAAGTATATTGTTTTCCTGTTTCGGCTCACTTCACTTTGCACCAGCTTACATAAGGTTTCTTATCCATGGCTTCTTAACATGCAGTAATATTCTATTCCATTCATATTCCATTCTACTTTTTTCATTTAATTTATGGTGCTCTCCTCAGTGTATTCCAGGTTCCAGCCAAACTGTATTACATGGGATTCCCTGAACTTGCTCCATGATTTCTTGCCTTTAAGCCTTCATTCATACTATTCGCTGCACTTGAAATTCATTCACCTCTCACTCTCTACCCTCCCTTCCCCCACTCCTCTTATCTTGCTCTTCCCCATTCTTCAAGGCCCAGGTCAAATGCCACCTTTTTCTTTCTTTCTTTTTTTTAGGCAATTGGGGTTAAGTGACTTGCCCAGGGTCACACAGCTAGTAAGTGACAAGTGTTTGGTCTGAGGGTGGATTTGAACTCAGGTCCTCCTGACTTCAGGGCCAGTGCTCTATCCACTGTGCCACCTAGCTGCCCCTCAAATGCCACTTCTTCCAGAAGCCTTCTCTAGCTCCTCTATCTACTGCATCACCCAGCTGCTCCTTATTTGCTTTGTTAATACCTCTCCTATGATGTGTTCCTACATCTCATTTGAAGAAAAGTGTTTTGTGCTTGCTTCTTATCCTTGCTATCATAGTGGAAGCTGACAGGGCACCAAGGAGAACACTCATTGTAGATGGAATGAAGAAGGAAGAGGA